AGAGAGAGAGAGAGAGAGAGAGAGAGAGAAATTCAATACAACAAACTGAAAGAAATAGTAGTGTATTAAAAATTTAACACAAAATAAAATACACTCTCAAAAGACTGACAATACATACAATCGCTGTCTCTTTTAAAAAATAACAATAGTTTGAGTGAACGATAAATGCATTGCAAAAATATATTTCTTAAAATTATTATTACTTTTACAATAAAATACTAACGAATAAAATATTTATCAATCACTTTCCATTGGCTTTTATTATTGTAATTGAATTTAATATTTTGATTACCAATATATTGTCTTATAAACATCTCAATAGCACTACACAACATATAATACTGTATAAAATAATGAATAATAAAAATCTTGCTGAAAATTTATCACCATAATAAAATTTTATACATTTCTATAAAACACAAATGTTTTATTTTATAGACAAGAATTGTTTGGCAAAAAAATATATATTAATGAAATTAAAACCAGATTTGACTAGAATCTAGATAAATAATGCAATAAGACTAGTGTCCATACCTCGGGTGACCGGTAGAAGCGGGACTGGATGTATGTGTAGACCCGTTGGTGAGCGAAACAAGAGCTCCCGAAGTCGATCACTTTGATACTGGAGCTGCCCTTTTGTTTCAGCAAAATGTTTTCCTGTAATTTATTTTTAATAATTATTATTTAATTGAATTAATATTATTTATAATAATGAGCATGGTGACATTTAATACATACCGGTTTTAGGTCGCAGTGAATTATATTCTCCTTATATAATAACTTCAAACACTGAACCAACGAATTTGCAAACTTTCTAATGAGATTCACACTAAAACCCTGGTAATTGTTCTTCTTGATTAATTCGTATAAATTGACCCTAAAAGTAAGTAATTAAATTAATAATATTACCATGATATTGTTTTAATAAGTTATAATCCTAAATAAATGTATTTTAATGTCATTAAAATGTTATCGCATTATGATTATTGTCTAGACTATTTAACGTAAATGTAATACAACACGTGCCATCATATTGATCTTATATATAATGTTAAATTATCTATGGTCAAATAATATTCATCCAAAAAATTCATTAAACTAGATTATTACGAAATATTACTGTAATTTATTGTACCTGGAGTGCCTTATAAAAATTTATCTAGCCAAAGCAGGCATTAAAAAACAACAAAAGGGTAAAATATTCTACTTTATAAATTATATAACTTACAGAATATTCCTGAATATATATAAAAGGCATGTATCTAACATAAATTCTGTGCACTCTTAAGCTTAAATAATTAATATGCATACTATCCATATAAATTTATGATACAGTATAGACAGAATATCTCTACCCTAAACATTCATTAATCACGTGTTTTTAGACACATATCTGGATAATGTTAACAGAATATTCCCATGAAATTCATCTATATATTAAATATCTAGGGAATTTAACTTCATGTAAATTAATTTAGCGCTTATTTTGAATATTTCTTACCCTAATAATTCAAATGTGATGCACAGGTGGTTACGAAAATAGAAATAGTCGAGCATATGAATCGCGTTGTGGTGACAATCCTTATCACGTTTAGTGATGTGCTCCAGTATTTTCACCTCGACCAATGCTTGTTGATGAAACCTAGATACAAAAACATTTCAATTAATATGTTTTTAAAAACGTGAGCTAACATTATCAATATATTTTTATCGTCATATTATAATTCCATATATGATATATTCATAATTATTATTGCGAGGCAACTAGCTATTAATAGAAATTTCATTTATGTACATTATATTTATTTTATGCATTTATTTATTTATTTAATAATGTTATAAATAATGTTAGTTTTATGATTATCTATATTGTATATGAATGCCATTAAAAGTACTCTGTATTACATTCTAAATATAAGTTATATTTATATATGTATTAATAATATAAATAAAGCTTTTTATGTTTATTACAACGAGAATCGTCGCACAAATTATGAAATACTGTGTTTCAAGAACTTTTACCATAAGCTAAATGTTTATTATCATTATCTTTATACCCAGAGACATATTAACCTTCATTAATATTTGAGTTATTAATATTATATTAGTTGTACACTATTTATAGTACACTTTACGACCAAGAAATTTATTAAAGTGGTTCATCACGAGTATTTGTTATTTTAATTATGAAAATATTAAATATGTTTAAAATTACTTAAAATTTTTTAAAATAAAAATAAATTTTTCAATTCATTTACAGAGAGAGAGAGAGAGAGAGAGAGAGAGAGAGAGAGAGAGCAAATGGGAGTGCGTGAATAGTATGATGTTTTTGATCGAGATTAATTAATACGATTAAGTTTGTCCACTGTTATCAACCAACAATCTAGAGGCCATACAATATAATAATAAATATATCCACGCATAATGTTATATAACAATTACGGAGATAAAACTAAAACAAATAATAAAACAATTGATTTATTATGATCATTTCAAACACACCACACAAATAAATGCTAAACAAAATAATAATAAGCGAAACGTTTGTGATTTTGGGAGAAAATTGATTGCTTTTTATTATATTCAATAAAAAAATAGTATAAAGAAAAGAAAAAATAAAATAACAAAAAAAGTTATATATATTTTTCTGTGTGTTTTATAAATTATTAATTTTATTTATTTTTATGATGATGATTTTTTTTATTCTACACCGAACTTTGATATTTTTCAAAATATAACATTTTTCAAACACTGTATTAATTAAATCAAAATCTTTTTTTCAGATTTTCAGAGAGAGAGAGAGAGAGAGAGAGAGAGAGAGAGACGGCACTACTGTTTGTCTCTCACTTCTCTAACCAACAAAATACTAAT